ATCCGGTTTGAATGCTGGTTTACCCCCTGTCTCTGCACACACGTGGTGGCACGCACACACATTTGTGCCAGTGTTCCATATGGAAGAAAAGCCCTTCTCTGTGGACTTTCTCAAACTTCGAAAGGAAAAACATCAGAGTGGCAGCTGGGAATTTTAAATCCTTTTTTATGTGTTTGCTTAATAGTCCCAACACGTTATAGGCTTTTTTGCTTAAGGAACTGAGGCCAAGAGAAGTTTGAGTCGCCCCACAGCAAGCTACTATAAATTGTCCCAAGAAGCTGTCACTGCAAAACAATGTTTCCTTTACTTATTGGGAGAAATCCCCAAATGTTTAGAAATAGGGCTTTAATATGTACCTCATAAGCATAATGACCATCGGAACTGTATTACATGAAAGGCTCAAAGTATTTCCTCATCAAAGTGATAATTAAGGTCCAATAAATAAAATGAGGACGATAAACTTCTCATAGCACAGGCGTGCTTACGGTCATAAGTACTATCTTAGAGTGGCTGTTGTGTGCTTTCATCCCACGGAGTGTACAAAACACAAAGGAAATGACTCTGCTCCCTTCTCATAGATCCCCCAGATGCAAGTACACGATGAGCTTGTTCTTTTTTATCAAGATGATAGGGTTGTTTTGCATTTTTTTTTTCAAGATTACTGTGTGTGTTCCATTATCTTTGTTGGCTACTTTTAATTTCCCTTTCCATAAAGTTATCAGTTTTACTGCATTAGAAATCTGCACCATGTCATTAAAATCCAGACTACCTGGAGTTTTGTTTTTTTGGCAGTCGTGTTGTGTACTCGGAGTTCTGGCGGACCTTTGAAATGATCTCGGATGTTTCAGAAATTAAATACATTTTCTGATCTTTTAGATAAGATGCTAGGCATTGGAAAGAATTCATGAGGGCTGAAACCATTCAGATGTGGCTTGAGATGTATTGCCCCAAATAGTTATCATTTTTGGTTGTGATTAGCACTGAAGAACAATGAAAGACTGAAATGGTTAACTTTCCACTGATGAAAGTTTGTTAGTCTTAGGATACTTGGAATACAGACACTTTGAAATTGTTTAAGACATTTTACACTTCACTGCTAGCCTTCAGATGCTATTTATAATGCTTTGGGAATGGGAAAAGATATATAAAAATCCAGTGTAGAATTTTTAAAATTTCCTACTTTAAAAGCTCTCTATAGATTTGTCAGCATAGCAAATAAACTTACTCTTTTAATTTTGTTATTTTTACCTTTTTCTGTCTTAAGTGATAAGTACATGGCTTTTCTTAGAGTTAAATGTTAGCAATGAGAATGAGGTAACACCTTACCGTAATTAATGTTCCTTTTTTTCCTTTCAGGACTCTGCAGACGGTAGGACCCTCCCATGCTAGAACCTACACGGTGGCAGTGTACTTCAAGGGAGAAAGAATAGGATGTGGGAAAGGACCAAGGTATGAGAAGAGAGCCTTTTAATTTATTTGAATGAACATCCTGTGTATCCGAGAAGTCCCTGCTTGGTATTTCCAAACTGTGTAGTCTGTCTTTTTAAACTCAGAGTACAGGATGTTCAAGGGTGGTAGCAAAGTAAATCCTAGGATTAATGTCCCCACCTTGCCTTGGACAGTGGGAATGCTTTTGTATAAGGGCTTTGGCTACCTTGAGAAAACCACATTACCTGGTATGCAGGTAAGGGCCATCCAGTGTCAGTTACCCAACAGGGTACTGAGCGTGGCTGCAAGCATTTTATAGGACACGTGCATGACACAGCCATTAAACATTTGATTTCTTACTGCCACTCACTTGAGCTTTGTTGGAAATTCTAACTAACATCCTCTCTCAGGTAAAAAGAAATAGGCATTTTAGCCTATTTCTTTGAACCCTCTAATTTATATCTTAAACTGAGAAGTGATTGGAAGTCTGTCTATATGTGCATTTTTTTTTTACTCTTCTTTCAACTTTATGCTAAGGATGTTCAAACTTAAGTAAGAAATACTTCAGACCTAATATAATGGAAGGCATTTTATTATACCATTAAAAATGTGGAACAAATAACATAAATAGTCTTTGTGCAAATAAATGATGTTTCCGCACGGCCTTGTGTACATTCCTAACTTGTGCGATTCAGTATGTGACAGAAGTAATCAGATAAATTTTATGCACCAGACATGAAAATCGACCTGAATAATGTGTGGCCATATCTTGTGCTGGTGAAAAAAAAAATCTTTAAACTGCACCTTTATTTTATTTAATAGTATTCAGCAAGCGGAAATGGGAGCAGCAATGGATGCACTGGAGAAATGTAAGCCTATCCCTTTTTCTATAATTATATGTTCATAATGGTTGTTTTATGGAAAGAAAATGGGGAAATACAAAAATGGTAAGTACTGATAAAATGTGATCTTTTTTTCTTCATAATTACTCACTATCTAGAGTGTAGTAGAATGTAAGATATGTATAAAATGGGCTAATAATTTTTTTGAGAAGTATTCCTGAATGCTTTTTGATTTTCATTTTCCTTTCTTGCTTGGAGTCCCACTCAGCTCAGGTAGCCCATGTGAAGAACCCAGTGTATCTTCTTCTATATGTTTCTCTATATTTCTAAAATCTTACATAAGTGAAGGTTTTTTCTTTTTAGTTTCTGGCTGTTGTTTCATGAGCATGAGATATTTACTGCATTTTTCTGTTGTTGTTCAACAATATATCATGCGGTGGGGGGCAATTCATTCATTCTTAATGGCTGCATAGTATTTCATGCTGTGAATTTGCCATATTCTATTCAGCTTTTTTAGTTTTGGTGGACATTCTTTCTGTTTTTGTTTTTGTTATTTTTTAATCGCTGTTGACAGTAAATGTCTATATGTTGGTCCTTTTGGTTCTGTGGGATAGATTCCCAAGAGCAAGATGGTTGGGTGGAAAACACTTCAATTACATAATTAGCCATGTAGGGAACTGCATAGTCTCTTGTAAGTTGAAGGCTTAGCAAAGAATTTTTCTTCTGAGATGGGCTGTGCTGTGCAGCAGAGTCTGTGAGCAAAACATCGCAGTGCAGTTCCATTATGCTCCAAGTACCAGCCAAACGTGGGACAGAGCAAAGCGTGGGAAGCTAAAAGTCAGGAGGCCCAGGATGCTCAGCTGTGGGAGATTCCAGGGAAGGCAAGAGGGCAGGAGCCAAGTGGAAAGCAGCAGACGGTAGCTTCCTGGGGTGGGGGGAGGGAGGACAAGTTGGGGGCGGTCGCTAGTATTTCTAGGTTCCCGTGGCCATGGAATATTCACTGAAAGTTTTAAGTTAGCTCTGTTAGGGAATTTTTTCACTCATTATTTACAAATGCACAATCACATACTGAAATAAAAGTGAGATTCCATTTTCTACCTGTAAAATTAATGAAGGTTCTCTTTGGATCCAAAGCTTTTTTGTTTGTTTTTTAACGATAAAACAGTCCTGGAGAGAGGGCCTGTTCGGAGACTGACCTCCACATACCTAGTGGCAAGAGTGAATCGTTTGAGCTGCTGGAAGGCAGTTTGCCTGTATCCGGTCCTTAAAGAAGTCCATACTCCAATCCGGAGACTTCATTTCTAGGAACCAAACTTAGGGGAACGACTGGAGTTATGAGCTCAAGTTCACATGCCACGATAATAGTGACAGCTTGATATATAATAGCCAGAAAACACATAAGTAAATCAAACGGCATGATTAACAGTAAGGAAATGCTTAAATAAATGATACTATAGCCCAGGGGTTGGCAAATGTTTTCTGTAAAGGACCAGATAGTAAATATGTTAAGCTTTGCAAGCCACACGGTCTGTCACGGTTACTCAAATCTACCATTGTAGTGGGCAGGAATGAATAGTATGCAGATGTGGTTGTGTCTGTGTTCCAGGAAACCGTACGTACAAAGATAGGTGTGGGCAGTGGTTGACCAATTCTTGCTTTATCCAAATGCTGTAATATGTTGCAATCATTATAGCAGTGTTTTTGAAGACTAGTGGTACAGGGAAATACGTACACTAGAATGTTTTTAAAAGTACCTATAAAGAGGTACCTGTGCTGTTGTCTCCCAAAGTGAGGGTGGGTGCAGGAATGATGAAATATTCAAATGTCCATGTAATATATACACATTTACACTGTGTATGTATGTGTGTAGCATACCTTCATAGAAAACTATGAGGATATATACTAAAGAATAAGTTTATCAGTGGTCAGATCTGAGTGGGTTTTTTTTTTTTAATGCAAACTAGGTTTTAGAATATAATTTACTGAGGAAGTAGGGTTCATTTTGTAGAAACTTACTTTACAGCTAACATTTTTGGATTTTGATTTATTTTTTAAAAAGTACTTAGAATACTTGGAACCTGTGTTTTATACAATACATAAGGTCAACTTGCTGTCATTTAGGGAATAGGATTTTGTTCCTGTTTCATTTCTAAAATACAGATGTCACTATGTATCTCTTCTGTTTATAATCAGTCAGTGACTCAGATATACAGGGTCTTTACTGATTCACCCACCGCCTCAGATGCTTTACCCTGGTCCTGTCCCTTCTCTCACCTGGGGGGGAGGATGGGACACTACATAAGAAGGGGGAGTAATTTAGGAATTGGCTATATATTTATATCCACTTTTATTATGTTTCATTCTTAACAAAAAGCAAATGTGCTCTTCCCCAAACATGCCATGCTCTCTCACATCTCTGAATCTTCCTATTTTTAAATACAAAGCAGGAACTCTTGAATATAACAACCCCTTACCTGGTTAGGGAGAAGAGTGTCCTTTTCCCTTCGTGTTACCAGGTAACTTGAGTGGCTCTCCTTCACCCTTCATGCATGCCTCCCCTCATGAGGTTTGCTGTTGAAGTATGTATTCATTGACTAAGTGTATAAAGTGACTTTTATTATCGTTCCATCCTTGGTTTCTTACCCTGTCTCTGTACTTGTTATATGCCACAAATGACAACAGAGTCATAACAATTTTTAGATCTTAACCAAGATTTTCACTGTGTCTAGCATTCCTGCACAGGGTCAAATATCAACTGAAATATAGCTCAAGCTATACCATTGAGTGATACGTTTCCTTTAACCAAATAAAATTGCTGACGAAGCATTGGATATCCCATGGTAAACTATAAAAATAGGATGATCAGAAATAATGACTTAATGCCTTCTGTCCATCAGACCTTTTTCCTCTTTTCAGGAATTTTAATTCTTGGTAACTAACAGGGTGATAATACCATTATTTGTTTGGAGCTTTTGGTTTGAGCTTTGCAAAAGTACACACGTCCACTTGACTACATTGTGTAATCTCTCCCTGACAATCACGTTTTGCTAGGAGAACTGTGTTGAAACACCTGCCTACCTGGAACCATCCTGAAACCACGCATCTCTCTTAACATTCCTGTATGTTTTGGTGCCTTTTATACTCAAGGTCACATCAGGTATCGCAGTCTAGCGTCAGGGTGCAGGTGCCGACTGCCAGTGGGTTTTGAATGACAGAAGCCGAGGGAAGAGACCGAGCAGTTGTTTGCCTCTTGCCTAGGAACGTACAGCTCTGTTTCTCGTGAATGTGTGTGTGTGTGTGTGTGTGTGTGTGTGTTTAGTTTGCGTTCTTTGCACCAGAGGCTACCCTTTATTGAGTATAAAATGTATCTCCTCGTGTCAGATAACTTTCCCCAGATGGCCCATCAGAAGCGGTTCATTGAACGGAAGTACAGACAAGAGTTAAAAGAAATGAGGTGGGAAAGAGAGCATCAAGAGAAAGAGCCAGATGAGACTGAAGACATAAAGAAATAAAGGAGGGCACGGAAGTGGTGGCGTATTTCCTTGCTTAATAACTGTGACTGTTGCCCGTCGAGATCTAGCCTAGTTTTCCTACAGACAATGAACGAAGGGTGCCCGTTGAAATAAAACACAAAGTCAAATCGCTGTTGTCGTTTTACTGATCTAATATGCTGGTCTTTGTTGCAAAGTATTTGATTTCTTTTCTATTTAATGGAAAACTTCACTTTGGTGGGTGTGCAGATTCCCTTCTATTTTGTTCTTTAAACAATAAAATTCAAAAAGCATCTTCTATGTGGAATAGATCCTGTTTTTCTCTCTCCATCTGAGATTGTGACACAAGACTTCAGCTGACAAGTGAAAAATCCACCTCACCAGATACTTGAGCAACACTCTATTAACAACTGTACTTTCGGAAATCTCTGGATTATTAACTAGATTTTTCAGCTTTCATCTGGATGTTTATCGTCTTCTCAACTGCAAACGCTGAACTTAGCCCTTGCTCAGCAGTGAGTCCTTTGAAGAAGGGATCCCTTTAATGTTTAGCTGGCTAGTGGGAGTGGGGAAGGACACATTTGAGTCACAAATATTCTTTGTATCATTAGAATAGGGGAAGAAATCATGATTCTAAGCCAGGTGACACTTTAAATCAGATACTCTAACCCTGGGGTCCGTGGACACTTTAAGAAGTTTATAGAGAGACCTAAAGGAAGTCTCAGAACCTCCTGAAATTGTGCTGGATTTTATGTGTGTGGGGACGTGAGGGGAAGGTTGGGAGCGGGCGGGGAGCAAGACGGGAAGTCTTCACAGCTTTCATCAGCTTGAAGTGGTCCCTGCGATAAAGGGCTAACAATACATTAAAAGATATGACATTTTAAAAAATGTTATTTTAAGCTGAATATCACTTGTTTCTTATTAATAAAGGCAAAACCTCTTTTTTTAAAACAAATGTGTTTTCATTCATTATTTTAGCAAATACATAGTGAGTACCTTCTGTGTACTGGGCATTGCTCTAGGCCCTGGGGCTCCAGCAGTGAACAAAATGAAACCCCCTCCTGTCCTCAGAGAGCTAATGTGCTAATAGAGAAATGCACTCAGTAGACAGGGAAGTAAAACATACGGCACATGGTGGTGTAGATGACGGCCGAAAATAGAGCAGGGAGGTGGGGAGGGTGCAGTTTTCAGTCAGGTAGTTCGAGAGATCCCCCGAAAAGGTATCGTTTGAGTTAAGATATGAAGCAGGAGACGGAATGAGCCTTTCAGGTATTTGGAAAGTCTCTTATGTATGTGACTATTAAATGATACCTGTGCAAGACGGGAAATTGGGGGGAACATATTACTTTTATTAGCAGGAGAAAGAAACAAATGCTACTTTGGAAATACTGTGGAGAAAGTAGAAAGCATAGGCAGAAAAATAAACCACCCGTGACTCCATCACCCAGAGCTTTTGTATATCGTCAGACCTTCTGTGTATGGACACATGTACACCCATGCACTCAAGTGTGCCTTAACAATTAGATAGTGTACATACGGTTTCCTTATCCTTTCTTTTTTATTAACTAGTACATCATGCATATTTCTCAGTGTTGAATTCATATTGACATTTACATTGATGGCTGCATATTAATGCATATCTTAAGTACCAGTTACGGGTGCACTGTGATTTGTTGACTACTGAAAGATGTATAGGTTGTAAGCAATTTTTTGCTGTCATAAATAATGCACACATGTGTACACATATATTATGGAGAGGAGTGAGAGAAGACCTCTCTAGGGTTTCTTAATTTGTTAATTATGAAATATAAGAAAGTACCTGTACCAAAAGTTTGTCCTGGTGTTCCTCCTCCCTGCACATAGCAAGACTGGAAGGGAAGGAATGCTGGATTCATCAGTGGCCTTGAAAATGTTACAAGGGAAAATACCTGAACTTTTTAAAAAAAGATTTTATGTATTTATTTATTTGAGAGACTGAGCATGTTTGCAGATCACGAGTCAGGGGAGGACCCGAGGGAGGGGGACCAGCAGACTCCTTGCTGAGTACAGAACCCAGTGTAGGGCTTGATCTCTGGACCTGAGATCACAACCTGAGCTGAGATCCAGAGTTGGACACCCAACCGACTGAGCCACCCAGGTGCCCCTGAACTTTTTTTAAATAAGCACTTTCACTCGTCTTCCATATGATTCAAAATAATGCCAAAGCTGATGTACTGCTTGACACTTTTTATTGGACCTTGACTTCTCTCTGTAGTAGTCTGGCCTTTTTCATTTTCTTTCTCCATATTAATAGTTCTTGAAACCTGAAGAAATTAAGTCCCTGAGACACTAGAGTACCTCACAGTGAAACAGCAAATGCACCATCAGAGCAGGTTAGCTCCAGGGGCTCTGTAGAGCAATAATGAGGCCAACAGCCAAATTCTGTAACTAGGCACATAGACCTACTCAATAGCAGGCCACTATGACCACAGTATCCGCCCTAGGTCCTACCCAACCCAGCCCAGCCTTCTTATCTTCTAGTTCTTTTTTTTTTTTTTTTAAGATTTTATTTATTTATTTGACAGAGATTACAAGAAGGCAGAGAGGCAGACAGAGAGAGAGGAGGAAGCAGGCTCTCAAGGAGCAGAGAGCCCGATGCGGGGCTTGATCCCAGGACTCTGAGATCATGACCTGAGCCGAAGGCAGAGGCTTTAACCCACTGAGCCACCCAGGCGCCCCTTATCTTCTAGTTCTTATGACATTCTTAAACATTACTTCAACTGTGCTGTTTGTTACTCATGGAGGTTGAATATAAAGGTTCCTTCTCACAAGTCGCTTGGGTCTAGTTTGGGAAACAAGGAATGGTGTGTCTATGGACAGGGTCTCCAACTGAGACTAGAGGGGAGAGCAGGTCACACAGGAAGGTTCACCCAAGAGTTAATATTTGGAAACCTTAAAGATGAGAGAGCGCTTGCAAGATGGGGGAGGACATGTCCTTCCAAAGGAACAACAGGATTGGGTGGCAAAAAAATGGGTTAGGATCCTCTTGTATTCCATGGGAGATGTGATGAAGGACTGTAACATGGCATTGGGAATGGGCTGCTGGGACAGAAGATTTGAAAGTTACAGAGGTGGTAGGACTACAGGACATGGAATAGGGCAAGATATTTCTATCTCAGCACTGTTGGCACTGTTGACATTTTGAACTAGATAATTCTTCACTGGAGGCAGGAGGAACTGTCCTGTGCATCGTAAGGTATTTAATTACATTCCTAGTCTCTACCCATTAGATGCCAGTAGCATCCTGTCTCCTGGTTGTGACAACTGAAAATGTCTCTGGGTATTGCCAGATATCCTCTGGAAGCAAAATCACCCCAAGCTAAGAATCTTGAGGTGGGAGAAATGAAGTGAGAGAAAATCAGGCTAATCTTTGTACAATCGAGTTGCAAACTGTTTATGGAAAAGCAGAATTAGAAAGAAAGATGTTGAACTTAGTTGGCTCTTGAACTTGAAGAGCCTGAGGAATGTCTCCCCAGATGTTGAATACGCAGTTGGACACATGGTTTTGTAGCCCAGGGTACTTGAGCTGAAGTACAGATTGGATGTGGACTCAAAACCTTCACTGGCGTTTGTATATCTATGAAGAAGAACACTGGCTTTCCCATGTTGGAGACAGGACACCCTTCCAGTGACCTAGCACTTTGAAACCATAGCTTCACACATGAGATAAATGTGTACTGGAGAAGGAATTCTCATCCAACGCTCATCCAATCTCATCTCTAGATGAGATTTTCTTAAACCAGTGGGCTGTTTCAGAAATATTTCTATCCTTATGTTTTGTAAAGTTGTTGTGACATATCTCTACAGTTACCTTCTGCAATGTGAAGAAGGCCTTTTGTGAATTACTCAGGTTTCATGAGATGTTCTGAACTGGGAGTAACAACATAGTTACTAAAGCGTTGCAGCCAAGTTTCCTATAGCTACTAGCCCCAAGTTCTTTACTGGACCCTTATCACTTCTTCTATTTTATAAGGGATGAAATAAGCATACTTCTTTTGTATAAATGTCAGAACATTTAAGAGAAAAACCTGTGGAAGAGATAAACTTAACCAGCCACCAAGGATTTTTGTTCTTGTAGAATTGTCGGGAAGTTCCTGCCTCACTGGGGACCACATTCCAGCTTCTTTGCATTCACGTGAGGCTGAGTGGCTGCTTCCCGCCCCTCAGATGTCAAGAGCTCCCCTACTAACTAGATGTCGATATCCAGGGAGGGTGGCTTTGAAAGCCACCATCAGTGAGAATGTGAATGGCTGCATGGAACAGAGAGCCTTTACCCCCACCCCACTACTGGCCCTCCCTTGATAGGGGGCTCCTGCTTGGACTTCATGTAAGTGAGAAGCAGCAATGTGTTAAGCTGCTGAGATTTGGGGGCTGATCTGTTAGAGCAGCTAGCATCACCTCAACTGACACAACTGTTTCTAAGGCAGGCACTGAACAACCCAAATCCAATATTTGCCAGCCCAACCACATCAAAAAGACATTCACTGGCCTATTGCTGGATACTACACTGGACCAGTGTGGCCATATTCCTTATTTAATTTTGATAGGTTTCTTTATGGTTCAGAAATGCCCTACTCTTCTATTTTATGATGTTACAATGGCGCAACCATGAAATAGAGTAAATTCTTACCTTTGACTTAGGGGTTTGGGGAACGCTCATTCAGGATTTATTAGTGTTTGTAGCATCTGTGATATCCTAAGTATGGAAGATTAAAGCAGATTCCTTGTCTTCAAGGAGTACACTATTTAGAAAAGGAAACACATACACCCATGTGTGTAAGGTACCAGACAGAGGATCCGAGAGAGGGAGTGACTCATTCCTTCTGGAGGAAGGGTGGAAGTCACAGGAGGTGGAACCTCAAGTTGATCTTGGGAGATGAAGTCGGCCCCCGTGACTGTTGACTCTTCCCCATGACAAAAAGTCAATTTTCAGGTCAAATATAATTGTTCTATTTTTCAACCACTGTGACAACAAAATCATCCAAAACTCCTTAATAACTCCTAACAACCAGTCTGTATTCAAATGTACAGCTGGTTTGTCCAACTAATAATTCAAGCAGAGTCCATACATTGCCTTTGGTTTTTATGTCTCTTAGGTCACTTTTAATCTAGAACACTCCTCCACTTCTCTTTTCATAGCTTGTTGAAGAAGCCCTGCCAGCTGTTCTGTAGGATGTCGCACATTCTGGATGTGATGTATTGCTTTCTTGTGGTATTGTTTTCCTTTTCCCTTTATTCTCCAAATTACATCTAAAGGTTTGAGTTTAGGTTTAGTTTCAAAATTTGTGGCAAATATGGTAATTTTAGCCCTTCCCCCAGGAATAACGATTTCAGCAGTGCTGGTTCTCAGATTCTTTAGGGGTAATAGGTTGATGGCGGTGGTTAATTTTATGTGTCACTTTGGCTAGGCAAGGGGAGTTTTTAGACAGCTACCTTTGTGATCGTTTGTTATAGAGCAATGGAAAATAAATACATTCTCTTCTCTTTCTAAAGGATTAATCTCTTCATGTTACTATCCTGGTTAAAATATTTCATGGATTCCCCATTGCCTCTAAGATAAAGATAAAGGCTATTAAATTCCCTCAGGACCAGACATCGGCCCTCTGCTGCCTCCCCCCACCCCTGACTTGATCCTGACTGAAAAGGTTGCAGATGTTTAAACACATTTTACATTCCCCTCCAGGATTTTGCACTGCCTGAAATAGGCCACCTCCTTGCTGATTATCTCACTTACTTTTTGGGCATCAGCTCAGGAACTAGCTCCTGCAAGCCTTTCCTGGGGCCTTAAGTTTAAGTGTACATCCTTGGGCTCCTTCCTGAATCACCTTTGTCATGCCATCTTGTTCTAATCTCTTGACTCACCCATCTTGCCCTGCTAGACCACCAGCTCCTGGCTGGCAGGACTGTCGCTAATCACCTTTGAACCATGGGCTCTCTGTCACCATCAATGCAATAAAAATCACCAGACTCCTCCTTGCCATTCTCCCACAAGCCTCAGCTAGCCTAAAGCAAAACTCTGGCTTGCTCCAAGCACCAGCTTACAGGAACTCTGAGGCCAAGGCAGAGAAAACGATACATTGGAGACGGCATCTGCACCCTCTCTGGACCTCCTACCGTTGGACTTGGTCAGGAGCCGGAGGCTAGAACAGGACAGCACGAGCCCAGGGAGACCCTGCCGGAAGCAGGGAAGCTAACTTGTCCCCTCTTGTCTTCCTGGAGCTGCTGCTTTCACTTCTCTCCAAGGTGAAAGCTCATATACATGAACAGACAAAACAATAGCTCCAGGAGTTTTATTCTAGGTGATGAGCTGCAGCCATGGAAGCCCGAGGGGAGGTGTGGTCGTCGGTGACGTCACCAGAGGGGTGGCTTGGGGCAGGCCGTAGTCACCTGACCTTGTAATCTCGGGCAGCAACTCCCTCTCCAATATCCCTTGCTACGGACTAATGACCCTACCCAATTTCATGTAATTGCGCTATGTAAACCGCTCCCGCCCGTGCCTCCAACTAGGTTGCAGCTCCTGTTTGGGAATTGGGGAGCTGCTGTAAGCAAATGAGGGCAGAAGCCCCATTTTTCCCTCAAGACCACCCCAACTAGATTCTGCATCTCCAATCTTCCACCATCGGAGGCCCCACAGACATCCCTTTGCAGAGACCCCTGTCCGATCTCTGCCAGTAACCCAGCGGTGACTGAACACAGCTGTCCCGTCACCCAAACAGCTGCTTCTCGAAGTTTGCCCTCATTCCTACTGAACTATTTGGTTAAGGAAGAGGCTTTGAATGAAATTCAAAAAAACAAAAAACACAGCTAGCGAATCATTTGTATGCTGAATATTAGCCCATCACAATAGAAAACTCCCAGATAAAACAACTCATAATGAAAATGCAGCAAGACCCTTAACTGTAGCAGCGCTAATGCTCACCTCTATTATTATAATAATAGGGGTCTCAAATGGAGCTGTTGAGAACAGTGGCTGCCCCTGATTAGAATTCAACCAGAAAGATCAAGAAAGAGCCCTAATTGCCTTTCTTCTCAGATCAAACAATTGACTTAATTCTCCAG